CCCACGTGGCTGACCTGGGCTAGACTGCCATCCACTCCTGCCTGACTCTCACACTATGGCCTCCAGACTGACCCTTCTTGCTACAGTCAGCCTTATTCTAGTGCAACCAGAGAAAACTCCAGTCCTTCTGAAACACACCTCTAATTTCACTCCCTTGTTTAAAATTCTTCAAAGGCACCCCCACACCCCACAGGATGAACTACAAACTCCTGAGTATGGTGTATGAGGTCTATAGACCGCGGGAGCCACTCCCCTGTAGACACTCTAGTCACAGTGATCTTCTTGTGGGGGAGGGGGAGGAGAGGAGAATGGGAAGAGGAGAGAAGAGAGAGGAGACAGAGGACAGAAAGCTCCATTCCTGTCTCATGCCACCCAACACCAACTCCTGCCAAGTCTGCAGATTTTCTCACGCCTCCAGACTTTTACATATGCATGTCTCTCCAGACTCCCTCATTTCTACGCACCCTTCAACCTCAGCTCAAGCATCATCTCATCTATGAGGGCCTGAGCCTGATGGATGTCCCCTCCTCACTCAGTCAGCCTGAGACCCACAGCGTTCACAGCAGCCTACCAATCCCTCTTTCAACTGTTCTAAACCTGTATCACCATCACTTACACAGATGGGTATTTGTGTATACACATACACTGTGCAGTCACTGAGGGCAGAGCTGTCTGCTCTTCTGTGTCTCCCTGACGTCCGGAACAGAGTCTGGCAAATAGAAGCTGCGCAATCCATATTTGTCGAATGTATGAAATTGCTTCCTATGTATCTCTTTCACTGATGTGATTGCTGCTTCTAACGAGATAGGTTCTTCTTTCGTCTCTGGAAATTCTCCAAATGGGTTTCTAACTATGCAATCTTTTTTTTAGAGGTAGAAAAATACTTATTACAGAATTTTAGTTCTAAAAATTATTAATGTTCTTACCAAAAAGAAAAAAAAATTCTGTCTCCAAGAAACGATAGTTTTAAAGACAGGTGTAGTTATCCTATACTTAACAATGAAAATGTTTAGCATTAATTGATAGTGACACACACAAACCAAATACACTATAGCAAGGATGATGGACATGAACCAAACAACATGTATGAAGCAAAGGATGATATGAAAC